CTCTCTTCCACCTCTGTCACTAATATACAATGTATCTACTGATAGAAACACCGTAGACAAACATTATAGAGTTTAAGTGATGCACAGTCATGATCTCATTTACATGAATGGTGCATTCCATGTCCATGTTTTCTATTGTCATAAACAAATAACAGTCATTGAATAACAGCATACATACTGCACAAAAATGATAAGCAATGTGATGACGCCCTAGAAAAATTCAATACCATAAATTGAAAGGAAACACTACTTAATATACCAACTCAGGTTGAGAGAAATTTTCAAAAGTTTTCGAGAAATTGCATGTAATGTATAACAAGTGGCCATGGTATCTTCTTCCAGTCTGTGTTCTTGAACTTGAAATTAATCACATGCAGGGATGGAGGTGTGAAATATGATACAGGTCCCTCCAATCAAAGTCTGATGATTGGGTCGACCCAGGGGACATGGGGGTTAATTTACTCTGGCTCTGGTTGTCATTAAAACCCCATGCACGGCCACAGGTTAACTCAGTCTGGTCTGGGTGTCATTAAAACCCCATGCACGGCCACAGGAGGAAGCGGGTTAACTCAGTCTGGCTCTGGTTGTATTAAAACCCCATGCACGGCCACAGGAGGAAGCGGGTTAACTAAGTCAGGCTCTGGTTGTCATTAAAACCCCATGCACGGCCACAGGAGGAAGCGGGTTAACTCAGTCTGGCTCTGGTTGTCATTAAACCCCATTCACAGCCATTTTGCAGTGTCAAGTTTGTTGAGTTGTGTTTACATTATAATTATAATTATACAGGGCTCAAAATAGCTTTTGCCATTCTAGTGTTATCTGCACTTCTGTGTTGAAAAAGTACATTTTCATAAACACCTGGATTCAGAACCAGTCAGTGTTACCCTGAAAAAGGTGACAGGCAGTCACCAAAACGTCACATGTGAAAACTCACTGGTTGTTGAGTAAAGAACAGTGACTGTCTATATTACGGAATTTTGAGGAAGCCATTCTTTTCCTTTAAACTTAAGTTAGCATTTCACAGGTGGTAACCATCAGTACAGTAAACAAAAGCCACACTGATGTATCCTGGGAAGGTACAAAATATTTTACACTTGATCTTTAACCTGTCAACATGTGCAGGTCAGGTCATTCAGAGTTCAAGTTCAGGGTTGCCTAGAGATGTAGACATTTTCATGCATCATAGTTTAACAGTTACTGATTCAGGTTCACATAATAAAGTTTAGACTTAGTATATGTATTTGAAATCGTAAAGAATTCTCTTAGAAGAACGTACTGTAATATTTTTGTGGTCTATTCAATACAGAAGAATCTGACAGCATTTATGTTTTCTATATGTCAAGTTTAGAGTACCTCTAGATCTATGATTTTACAGTTGGAAAATGTCAAATGAGTACACCCCACCCCTCCCGGATCCCACTTCTTGGATAGATGCCATTGCCTACCATTTGGCCAGTGCCTAACTGAGTGTTATAGATGTTTGGTCTTTATTTGAATGTGGAGTCAGGAAGCCTTCATGGCCCACAAACATCAAACTTGCATCCAGTTTCAAGTTCAGCTACAGTTTGAAATGCCACACAGTTCCCTCTAATTTCTTGGATAGGTGCCATCCTAACCCACTGGCCTACAGTGACAAATTTTGTGTGTTCTTGAGTCAGTGAGCTTTGAATCTCACCTCATCTATCCCTTAAAAATAAAAGTCTTGATTATTTGACCCTTGGGGCACCACTGAAGATCTGACCACCAGTATTCTTCACCCTTCTCGGTCTTCTGTACCTTAATTTCATGTTTAACTAATTGCTGGTCCATTCTCTGATTTTACCCTCCCATCTTTTCCAATTTCTAACCCTCTTTCTGACAGTAGTTACAAGTCCTTTACTTTGCCCCCCTCCCCCCTTCCAATCTATGAAATAGCTTTGCCCCTAAGCCAAGTTAGAAATGTAACCATTATATCAGCTTGAGTTGTTGACTTAATGATATATTCCATGCGTGCTACACCAGTGGCCTGCAGGTATGACATTTACCAGAATCTGCTGTTAGATTGAAGTGGTGTAATTTCGTGGAAGAACCTTTGACACAGCTGCATGTGCATAACAAATGCTGCAAAATGAAACATGCGGGATGACACAGTTCAACCAGTGGATCCTACTCCCAAAATATTAAACTACAAGGCACTCAATCAAAATAGATAGTCTGGATGCCAGACAGTTGACAGGGGCAGTATACAGCCTAGATCCTCAGCTCCAGGGCTAGCCTGGGTGCCAGACTGTTGCCAGGGCTAGTATACAGGCTAGCTCCTTTGCTCCAGGGCTAGCCTGGGTGCCAGACTGTTGTCAGGGCCAGTATACGGGCAAGCTGCTTGGCTCCAGGGCTAGCCTGGGTGACAGACTGTTGCCATTGCCAGTATACAGACTAGTTTCTCGGCTCCAGGGCTAGCCTGGGTACCAGACTGTTGCCAGGGCTAGTATACAGGCTAGCTCCTTGGCTCCAGGGCTAGCCTGGGTGCCAGACTGTTGCCAGGGCCAGTATACAGACTAGCTCTTTGGTTCCAGGGCCAACAAGCCCCCTAGGAAATTTTACCAAGAGGTGGCCTGCATATTGGCTTTGTCTAGCATACAGACTATCGAAAAAGACTCATAAAGATTTACTTAAGGTATAAATACTTAAGCATAATTGCATGTATATAGACTTCCAATAGATGCATCCTGGCTCCCAATCTTCTGCCAAGTTGCTTCAATTGATCGGCTGTATGTAGTAGAGAAACTGGCACTGGCTGCCAAGAAATACATCTGAATTTTATGTTCCGAAACTTGACTGTATGAACCGTTACTGAGTTCTAAATATCAGTTACTGTATAGCACAATATGTGGGCACAGTTTGGGCCAATTTACTCTGCCCCAGGTTGAAATATTGCTCCCAAAATTGTCTTTTTCTTTCAATTGATGTCCTGTCAATGCAAGTATCAAGTATACCCCAGTATTTCAGATGATTTAAGGTTGGAAGAGCCTCCTGACACCATGAAACAGTTCCTGGTTATAAAACGGTCTGGTAGATATTCCCAGACGGTCCCTGTCCTGTTGTTCGATTTTCTGACGTACAGAGATGTTGAGTTATAGGCAATATCTCACAGTCTTGTGCTGGTCTAGTATCTGGGGTGCCCAGGGAGTCACAGTTTTTGCACTGACACCTCACTTAATTTGTTAATTACTTTGTTATCTTGTCCTCTGGTATGAGCCGTATGATAATTCAGTTGTTTTAAGTTTAGATTTTATCACTCATTGTGCACAATGAATATTTCACAGGGTCCATCACAGTTTTTACACTGATACCTCGCGTAGTTGTCAGTTTGTTATCTTGTCCCCATGTGTAGTAATTAATTTATTTTGAGGTTTAGATTTTATCAGTTGTTATTTAGACACTTCAGTGATATTTTACATACAGCGTGTATTACTGTAAGTCTCTTTAGATTCGCGGGGCCTAAAGTTCGCGGTTTCGGGAAAATGGACAATCCGCGGTATTTTTAGATTCGCGATTTCTCCTTGGCTATTTTTCAAAGAAAAATTTGTAAAGTGTATATTTAAAATAATAAAAGTTCGTGTTCCGGCATTTATCTCCTAAAACGCGGCGCAAAAATTTGTTTCGTGCACCGCGCGAGACTGCCGGCGGTAAAGCTGTCGATCGATCTGACGCACGTGTAAACAATTTTCTTTGTTCGGAAATAAGCGCTAAAATGCTATTTTCCACGACTAAACATCGATACTCTAGTGAAGAAATGCATAATCGAAAAAAATATATATATTACTAAGTAAATTTATGCCGTCTTCGGCGAGATTTTGAACCCGGAAGTATACAAAGGTCGCCTTCGGTTTTGTAGGCCCACGGTGAGCGTTTCTATCCAGCAAAACAAGAAGAAGAAAAAACGCCCGCGATTATCAGGGCGCAAAAGATAACCAACTAACATTTCCCAGGTACCAGCCGTTATATTTTTCATAAAAATACTTGTAGATATGCCCGATGTTCCCGCAATTTTCAAGCGCCCGGGCGCGCACGGCCGGCGCTCTGCACGCATAGATTTTTTTCGGCGGTACACGGTTGACACGGCCAGTGCCGCAGTATCGCGATTCGGTGTTTCATAATATTATAATTTTTTGACATCAGTATAACTTAAAAAAAAATTTGGTACTCAACATTTGCTAAGAATAAAGTTGGTTTGCAGTGATTTGTGAATCGCGTGTGTTTGTGTTTCGCTTACCGTCGTGAATGCATGTGGGGAGGGGGGCGCACTTACGCAAAACATATTCGCGGGGAAATAGATTCGCGGTACAAAGGTCCCCGCGAATTCCGCGAATCTAAATATACCGCGGAAATTTGTAGACTTACAGTAGTTTTTTGCACTGACGCCTCACATAGTTGTCAGTTTGTTATCCTGTCATGTGTAATAATTTAGTAAGTTGTTTAAACTTCAGATTTTATCACCTAATCAATATTTTACAGGGTCCGCCACAGTTTTCACACTGGCGCAGTTATCTTCCTGTGTAAAAGTACCTGGATTCTTTAAGGTTTAGATTCTATCAGTCGTCATTTTGACGCATTAGCGATATTTTACAGGGGGTCACAGTACTTGCACTCATGCCTCACACTTTCCCGGTCTCAGCACATTATAATCCAATTATACTGTTTGTCAGTTCAAGGTTTGTATCTTTGGGCTGCCCTTCATTTTGACATGATGTAGGCAGTATTTCTCTGGAGGGGTACCAAATCTGTGACAGATCCATTCTGTGAACAAGGTCGATAGCATCAGCAGAAAAGTCCTGTATACTCCTAATTCATTACCATGTAGTATTTATTTAATAATAACTTGGACCAACACAGACAAACTTTCATGTTAAGACACCAATTTGCATTGTATAAATTTTGTCTTATATTTCTGTGATCGTAAAGCAAAAACATGACATTGTGTTTAATGAAGTTTAATTTCTTCCTCCCTGTGTTGTACCCAGGTGATGTCCCAGGATGTGCGTAAGGAGAACCCGCTACAGTTCAAGTTCAGGGCCAAGTTCTACCCTGAAGACGTGTCCGAGGAGCTCATCCAGGAAATCACACAGGTGCGTTTGTTTGCATTTAAACTTTTGATCCATCACCAAAGCTAATTATTCATACACAACTGATATTCAGTTCATTCCGAGTCAAGTGAAGAAATACATGTATGTGTTAAGTGCCTTTCCTTAGTAAGGACACAATAGGGATCGCAACCCAGAACCTTAAGATTCTATGTCAACAACCCCAACCACAAGGCCACCTTGCCATATCGCAGGCCAGTGGTCCCATTGATTTCTGCTAATTGGGTGATCAGGATTGACGACTGAAGGGAGCTGTCCTGGTCTCTTCTTTGGCAGGCTCTCAAAGCTGTCTGACTCTGAGGCCTCTCAATCTCAATTGCTGGGTTCTTGCCTTTGCATTGCCTCTGTGTAGAGTTTGTTCTGTACAGTGTTAGCAGATGAAAAGTAACTCTATTATTTGCTTTTGCAGCCGCTGTTTTTCTTGCTAGTAAAATATACCATTAAACTGTTTTTTTTTTTACAGTTTTAGTAGACGAAAGTAACTCTATTACTTGCCATTCCAGTGTCTGTTCTTCTTTTAAGTAAAGGAGGCCATGTCCCCAAAATACATCAGATTTAGAAGCGTGAACTAAACCTTATCCCCCTTCTTGCCCTTCCAGCGGCTGTTTTTCTTGCAAGTGAAGGACGCTATCCTGACTGACGAGGTGTACTGCCCGCCGGAGACTTCGGTGCTGCTGGCGTCCTACGCTGTCCAGGCCAAGTACGGAGACCACAGCAGGGACGTCCACAAGCCGGGATTCCTCGCCAATGACAGACTCCTACCTCAGAGGTTAGTGTGTTTACCTTCGCAGAAGAAAAACAATGTTTTTGCTCAGTTTCTTCTTCTTCCTCTTCTTGTTCTCCAAACAAATAAATTCAAAGTCAATGACCTGAACTAGACGTCTGTCACCATGGTAACTGGTGTTGGGTTACTTCATGTGGCAATTTTATAGCAGGAGGGATTTAGACTCCTGTCACCATATATATGAATGTGTTTGAGTAAGAATTAACAGAGCAGACCATATGCGAGGATAAACATTATGCATTTTGCTTTGCAAATGTTACCTTTCTAGTTAATAGTTATCACCTTCACCAAGAATCTGTTTTCTGTGTGTGTATCTGTGTGTGCCTGTAGGTCTTGACGAATAACGAGCAGGACCAGTGTCTTGAAAAATCATTTCGGTATGTGCGTTGTGGATTGATGGATGAATTCTCAATGACATTGTTTTCTCCCGTCCCTACAGAGTAATTGACCAGCACAAGATGACACGAGAGCAGTGGGAGGAGAGGATAACTAACTGGTACGCTGAGCACAACGGGATGCTCAGGTAAGTCATCATCATCTTCATTATCATCTGCCTCAGCTCTGCCTAAATCTGGTAAACAAACACTGGAACCAATTCAATACTAATTGTATCTTCAGCTATCTTGTCAGTACATGAATACATTAGTTTTACAAGTTATGAATACAATTATAGTTGTACATTCAGTTATCATAAATAAAACTTTGACCTCCTTATGACCTAACCTTTGCCCCTTGTCCCTATCATGACCTAACCTTTGCCCTTATCCTGACCTAACATTTCCTATTGCCCCAACCTTACCTAAACATTACCGGTATCATGACCTAACCTCTGCCCCTATCATAACCCAACTTCTGCCCCTATCATGACCTAACCTTTGCCCATATCATGACCTAACCTTTGCCCCTTGACCCTATCATGACCTAACCTTTGCCCTTATGATGACCTAACCTGTGCCCTTTGCCCCCAGGGAGGACGCCATGATGGAGTACCTGAAGATTGCTCAGGACCTTGAGATGTACGGAGTGAACTACTTCGAGATCAAGAACAAGAAGGGCACGCAGCTGTGGCTCGGTGTGGACGCTCTCGGCCTCAACATCTACGAGTACGACGACAAGTGAGTACCGTACGCCAACCGTACGCCGCGCACGGGGCGATGTTTGAGCCGCCATGTTTGTGTTGAAATCCGTAATTTCGTGTGTTTCTCTCTTCCTCTGCTCTGCACTGCATTGTCTCTTCCAGTAGCTGCAGTCTTGTTTTTGTTTAACGCCGTTCATTTGTCATTAACATGATCATTTGTTGTTAATTTGGTGGCTTCTATCTGCATGTCATGGCTTTAACACACTTACCACTCAGCACACCGCTCAGCATAGGCACCCATGTGATGTCAGCGCTCTTATACACCTATTCACCCTTTAGCTCACTGTGTTCATTGTACTAAATATATAATCCAGCACCCCCATGAGTTGTAATCTTGTAGTCACCTCAGCCAATTCTTTGTTTATAGGGCTGGGGATGCAGGGAAGTCACCGTCGACTGGTGGCAAAAGCATGGCAAACTTGTAAGGGTGCTTGGCTTTGTAGCAACGTTGGCCTTTACCCCCTGACCTCTGACCTTCAGTGACCCCTGGCCTCTGACCTTCCGCTGGTGGCCCCGCCCCACCCCTGCGCACCTTTGTGTAACTTGATACACACGTGTTCCCTGGCTGCTTTTTGAGTCAGACGATGGTCCACATCAGAATGGTTGAACATCAGAATGGTTGAACGTGTGGCGAAAAACAACCTCTCTCCCTCCAAGCTTTGCTTCATGGGCCACACCAATTCATTTCCTTGGTTGTCATTTGTTAATTGACATTTTCCACAAAGTAAAAAGGAGGGCAAAACAGGTGCATACACATCTTTACAAGTTGCCCTCCCCTTAACAGATAGTAAATAAAAATCAGACAATAAACATATTATTATGTTAAACATTTAGCAAGAGAACAAAAAAAGATGAAAACAGTAGGGAAAAACTTAATTCTGACTATAAACTGTGTACCAAAGCACAGACTTTCCCCTCAGACTCTGTTTTCAAGTTGATCTTACGCCAAAGTTTTACTCAAATCCAAGAACAAACCAACTGAATTGGTGTGGCCTTAATCCGACTGATTAAGATTAAGAAGGAGACCCAAGACGGTACGATGCTTAAGACAGAGCGCTGTAGACTCCTTACGGCTTGTAAGAAACCCTAAGCACTGATGCTTGTTGTGTGAGCTGACAGGTCCCTTCAGAGGTTCATAAATTATCGCTCACTTTCTTCCCTTTTCTCTTCCCAGTATTGTGGCTGCTTTGTAGAGTTAGAATTTCTACCACAGCACGTCGGCAGAACGTACTGCACCTGTGTGAAACCCGTAATGTATTGTGCATAGCACTTAGGCAGAACGTCCTTTTTTAAGGTCGCATTCGCGTATTTAAGGTTAACGTTGTCACCCCTATAGTTATCGAATGTTGATTGTGACAGAAAAGGCACTGGTAACTGCAACAGGCAACATTCTGAATCTGATGCAACGTTGACCAGATATCCAAAGAAAACTGTGAAAAGTTTGGGTTTCATGCAGGTGTAGTACATTCTGCCGACATGTTGTTATACAATGTTGTAACTTGTACATACTTTTCTAAGGTCTCATACCTCTTATATTTAACAATGTCACACAACTGTTGTTAAACTCTCACAGAAATGACTATTTCACAAATGTGTGCCTTACCACAGAATATATGATTATTTCTTATCACTAATTTATTACTAATCACTTACTACTAATTTATTATTTTTTAACAAGTTTGCCCTTCAAGGGAAGTACCTAATATGAGTCCACCAAATAAAAGTACAACTGTTCTAAAATTAGCATACATGTAGTAATAAGGACCAAGAAGGACCTGAAGGTGGTAGGAGAATGCATTTTAATATAATATCATGAAAGTTCATCTGTGTTGGTTGTTACTTGTTTAAAGTTAAAACTGTTGATTCAACGCAAGGAAATTCACCTAGAGCTTTCGACCAGTCACTCTGGTCATCCTCAGTAGACTGACCCAGTGTGACTTGTCACATGGCTTCTCTGAGGAAGACCAGAGTGACCAGTAAAATTCAAAAGCTGTAGGTAAGAGAATTTCCTTAATATATGTTGGAATCAAAAATGAGAAAACATCTTGTTAAAGTTTACTGACATCTGTGTGCCCCCCTCCCCCCAGGCTGACCCCGAAGATTGGCTTCCCGTGGAGCGAGATCAGAAACATCTCCTTCAACGACAAGAAGTTTGTCATCAAACCCATCGACAAGAAGGCTCCGGTAAGTCTTTAAGAAGGATTCTTTAGGCTCTTTTCATCTTGAAAAATGTCTTAAAGAATTACACGCTCAAAAAGACTCATGTCATGCAGTCTCAAGTCAGAAGTTTCAAGTCATCCACACACTTTTGAGCCGTGCATGTATTTTTTTCCCCTGAAAACTTTTGTAAAACAATAGCTTTGCCTTTAGTATAAAAGTAGACTTAAGTTCCTCTGTTCATCTTTGATTTTTTTTCAGCATTAAATTTTGACCTGTTTGACCAATCAGATTTACCAAATTTGTTTGACTTTTACCAATATATTGATACAGACACAGACAAGCAGCTACTTTGTGTAGTCAGATAGGCACCACACAGCTGAAAGATATATCTTCACAAACAAGTCTTGTTAATTTTCTTACCCTGTATAAAAGTACATAAAACAAGAAAGGTTACACTGTGATGTGTTAGTACAGTAGGGTCTTCCAAGCTCTCCATGTTTGCCATCTTTAATTGTATCCAGAACCATACACGAATTATCTACTTCAGTTCTATGCCTGAATGGGTTAGGGTTAAGATCAGGCACGGTTCTGGATAGTCTCTGCATATCCAAGAACACAGATTTGCCCCAGACACAGTTCTAGATATGCACCGACTATCCGTAACAGTGCCTATCTAGTTTTATGCCTGAATGCCTTAGGCTCAGGCACGGTTCTGGATAGTCTCCACATATCCAAGAACACAGATTTGCCCCAGACTCAGTTCTATATACGTATGGACTATCCAGAACCGTGCCTATCTACATGTAGTTCTATACCTGAATGGGTTTGGGTTAGAATCAGGCACTGTTCTGGATAGTCTTCGCATATCCAAGAACACAGATTTGCCCCAGTCGCAATTCTATATGTGCATGGACTATCCAGAACTGTGCTTATCTAGTTCTATGCCTGAATGGGTTATTGTTAGGATCAGGCATGGCTCTGAATAGTCCCCGCATATCCAAGAACACAGATTTGCCTTGGCACAGTTCTAGATATGCACAGACTATCCAGAACTGTGCCTATCTAGTTCTATACCTGAAGGGTTAGTGTTAAGCTCATGCTCGATAGTCTCTGCATATCCAAGAACCCCAGGCATGGTTCTAGATATGCATGGACTATCCAGAACTGTGCCTCACCTTGATTCTGCATTAAGCAAGGTTCTGGAGAGTCTCTGCATATCCAAGAACACACTGTCATATTTGCCCCAGACACAATTCTAGATAATATGCATGGACTATCCAGAACCGTGCCTGACCATGGTTCTGCCGAAAGCACCGGGTTCTGGGTACTACACCATCGCAGCTTTCTTTACTGCCCCCCCTCCTCTTATTTGTGCTTTACGTGTTTTCTCGCCCCCCTCCCCACTTTTCTGTCCCCCCCCCCCTTCTGCGCCCTGTACTCTGCCGCTGCACAGAAAGGCATCAGTAGGTTTCTCCAGCGAACAGACTCAAAGGTACATCACTGGGACAGGACTGGTCACAAGTCTACCAAGGTTCAGACAAGTACAGTAACACTTGGAGAAAGATGACACACACACACAAAAAAAAACAATCATGAATTCGAATTTCCTAGGTGTGTCAGAGAGGCTTAATATAATTTTTACCCGGTATAAAGTCCATGGAAAAATTACTAATTTTGAAAGAAATGTTGGATTTTGAATATTACTATGACTTTTTGTTTTTGTCATGAAATAAAGATACAAAATAAACTGTATACATGATCGTACTTTATCAAGTCGGAAATGTGCTTCAATGTTTGAAATTCAGAAATTGGCTTTCTGAAAAAAAGACTTCTTGTATGAACCTTGTGAGGGCTTGTCTCCACTCTTGGCCCCCCTCTGTGCATGGAGAAGTGTACTGTAACTCTTCATACTTTCACAGTGGTTTTATTCTCATTGACCTCTTCATTTGAACAGGTCATACACATTAACAATTGTATGATCACTGAATTCTTTCAACCGATAATTTAAAACACCACAAAAGCTACGTTTTTCCTCCTACCAAGTAAGAAAACATGAAGTTACAGTACTGTACACATAGGGTGCTGCCATGCTTTGCCTTGCTACATGTACATGTCCATATTCAACTGCAAGCTCTTTTCCTCAAACCGTTTCTGTATGTGCAAATACACTCATGCATACCTTCTTAGAGTATCTATGAGGAGACTTTATGAGTTATGGAAACACACACTAACTAACCAACCAACAAACCACTGTAGTTCAAAAGTTATTAAAAGTTATAACAAACAAAATGGCACATCACATGTAACAACACAAACACATAAACTGCATTTTTTATTTTATCAGATAGATGGCGCTTTTGATCATGCATTGAAACTTCAGATTTTGAGAGATTGTATTTACATTGTTTTGAACTAATGGCATCATCACAGGTGCATTTTGATTTTTATCACAATTCCATTCCGACCTTTCAGGACTTGCAGTTCTTTGCTATTCTATTATAAGTTGCTGGTTGTCTACTTTATTAGACAGTGTATTTGTCTGTACTGTGTTTCTATAGGTCAGCAATTACCTACGAAATAAACGAATTGCATTCCTCTCCTTCAGGACTTCCAGTTCTTTGCTCCGAGGCTGCGGATCAACAAGCGTATCTTGGCCCTGTGCATGGGGAACCACGAGCTGTACATGCGCAGGAGAAAGGCAGACACCATCGAAGTCCAGCAGATGAAGGCCCAGGCTCGCGAGGAGAAGCATCAGAAACAGATGGAGAGGTTAGAATGGGGTTTATATTAGTTTTACAACAGTGTTTCTACAACTAAGATCATATTAAGCACAGTTAAGAAGTTTAGAACCAGCAGAGGAAGGCCCAGGCATGTGAGAAGTGCCAGAAACAGATAGAAAGGTAAATCTTATTTTTATTATCTTACCTTATAAGATAATCATAGATAAACTTAGATAGCCGTGTAAGATCAGGCAAGAAGTTAATAAAAGCCAGCAGATAAAGGCTGCAGTCTATCAGCATAGTTAGTGAGTACAGAACCACGAGCTGTACATGCGCAGGAGAAAGGCAGACACCATCGAGGTCCAGCAGATGAAGGCCCAGGCTCGCGAGGAGAAACATCAGAAACAGATGGAGAGGTCAGAATGGGGTTTATATTAGTTTTACAACAGTGTTTCTAGCCATAAGATCATATTAAGCACAGTTAAGAAGTTTAGAACCAGCAGATGAAGGCCCAGGCTCGCGAGGAGAAGCATCAGAAACAGATGGAGAGGTATGGGTTATTTTATTATTTTATCTTATCTCCAAGAACTTAAGAACAAGCAGATAAAGGCCATAGCCGAGCAGCACTGTTACATGTAAGAAGTAAAGAACCACTACATGTAAGTCTTGTAGAAAAACTTTCACCAGAACTTGCTGTAGTTGAAAAAAGAGTATCAGATTTTTTTCAGAAGTGTCAGAAGCAAGTGAGTGAGTCAGAAGCATCATGATTGTTCAACAGTACAGCACAGATGGAAGAAGACAGTTTCTTAGAAATGTCTTATAATTCTTACACGTCTTGCAGGGCTGAGTTGGCGCGCCAGAAGACGTTGTGTGAGAGGGAAGAGAGGCAGTATGTGGGGAGTTGTAGTTAGATCCTGTGTAAGACTGTGATGTTGTGTTGTGTAAGACTAAGACTCATGTTTTCTCCTCAGGGCTGAGTTGGCGTGCCAGAAGACGTTGCGTGAGAGGGAAGAGTCGGTGTGTGGGGAGTTTGAGTTAGATCCCTTGTTAGTTGTCTTGTGTAACTCTAAGACTGATATTGCCTCTTCAGGGCTGAGTTGGCACGCCAGAAGACGTTGCGTGAGAGGGAAGAGAGGCAGCGTCTGGAGCTGGAGGAACGGCTGAAGAGGTTTGAGGAGGAGGCTCGCCAGCGGCAGCTCGGTAAGTCTGATTTTTGTAAGTCTGGCTATACAGAACACATGGGTAATGGACATATATACACTATCAGGTTCTTGGGGGCTGGGTAATGAAGTCTGGCTATACAGAAAACACGGTAAATTTTAGAACTGAAAATTTGCCAGGTGATCATCTGGTTAAGGTTTTGGACTTTAAAAAAGTCCTTAGTTCGAACCCCTAGTAGGCCCCATTGTTTTGTCCTTGGGAAAGGCACTTAACACATATTTCCTCCCTTGATTCAGAGGGCCAATATTGTCAATTAAGGGACATCATCTTGGAAATTACATAAAGCCAGAGGTTTGGGGATAGCCACACCTTAAGCATGTTAAAGAACCCACCACTCTCATCTTGAAATAGAATGAAAATAAAATCCCTCCCACCCTTCCAAAGGCAAGCTGGTACTTGTAAGGTTACTGGCCTTGGGTTACTTACATGTAGACAGACTGACATGGTTCACTTGGCACATGCAGAAATAATCCATCAATGACCCGTTACTATTTTCGCCCCAAGTTTATAGAAATTTTCAACGACTTAAAACATCTGTCAAAAGGTCTGGCTGTAACTTAGGCACAGAAAGGTGCAAAGCCGTGTTTAGATTCAGTTGGATTTTTCTGGAGCTGCTTGCTACAGGATGACTTTGTTCAGACCTAACACACCATGTCCCTGGTTAAAAGGTTTGCACTTCTGTCTGTATTATTAACTGTGTCTGCAATATGTGATTCATAACGCTTACACTGTATCCTTGTAATGTTGTTGGTTTCTTGAATGTGTTTTGTGGTTTGCACTATGTCTTGTGCAGTCATACCGGAACTAGAAATTTTATCAAACACATAATTAGCCTTCTCCTCCTAACCCCCTCAACAAGTAAGGCATTGATAGCCAAAGGGCTAGTTCAGTGTTCTAAAGGTTAATTTTGTAAACACACACACAGACAGACATACAGAGAAGCCCTCAACAATATTTTCGCCTTTTCCCCTAAAGTAAATTTGTAGGAAATAACATCCAACTTTAATGTATTTATCAGTTTGGCCGTTACACACAATCTTTGCACATTTAATTGTAGGAGTAGTTTAAAGCTTTCTAGTGATGATGCCCCAACTGTGTTTGGTGGCAATGAGTTCCACTCGTTCAAACCGTATTTCTTCCTTCCATCATTCAGAGCTGGAGAACATGCAGACAGCAACCCAGAAGATGATGGAAGAGAAGAGTCGTGCGGAGGAGGAGGCGAGGGAACTGGAGCGGAAACGGATCGAGGCTGAGCAGGAGAAGGCTCGTCTGGAGGAACTCGCCTCCAGGGAGGCTGCCGAGAAGGAAGAGATCGTACGTACTCAAGAATTCTTAAGATTTACACTTACTACACTTAAGAGTCTTGTGTAGTTTGTTCTTTTTTTCAATACTTCACTAGAAGAATCTGTGCAGGCCTCGAAATACTGGGTACATGTGCACCTAAGTGCACCCAAAAATTGGAGTTGTGCACCCAATTTTTTTCTCTGTTTGCACTGGTGCACTCAAATATTTTTGTTGGTAGTTTTGCACATAATAATTGTATAATAGTACTGACAGTGTACACTCAGGCTATTCTTGGCATGATTCTGAGTGTTATTGTTGTAGTACTCGTTTAAGATATTACTAATAGCTTCCATTTCACATTCAGAAGAGGAGCAGTTAGATGATCTGTTATTAGGTTTTGCTTTATATGATGCACCCAAAAAAATTTTGTTCACTAATTTTTTAGGTTGGGTTAAATACCTGCTTTATATATATGACAAAGTCTGTGAAATTAACCCATCTGTCACCATGGCTAAAGATGAAGCTAGCTAATGTCTGCCATCTGTTCCCATGACAACAGGCGCGGATGCAGGCTGCCCTGGAGGAGGAGACGAGGCGTCTGGAACAGGAGCGGCAGGAGAAGGAGGAGGACTCCAAGAAGTGGCAGGCTGAGGTGTGACAAACTTCTACTTTACTTCTCTACTCACACAAAAATGTAGCTTATGTTAGAGTATTACATAGTACGAACATGTAGTCTTTCTAACAATCTTGAAACCTAACAACTTGCGGAAAATATAAAACTTAATTTAGTCATGAAAATGCAGGCTGAGGTTAGACAAACTTTTAAATACAAAAGTTCATCTGTGTTAGTAGTAACGGATACATGACTTGAGTTAAAACGTTTGATCCAACACAAAGAATGGTTCTCACCTTGAACTTTCCACCGGTCACTCTGGTCTTCCTCAGAGTAGACTGACCCAGTGAGACTTGTCATGTGGCTTCCTCACTGGGTCAGTCTTCTGAGGAAGACCAGAATGAGAACCATTCTCTATGTTGGATCAAACTTTTAACTCTGAACATTATGTACTAGTCTAAGTCAAACTCAGTTACGAAAAATGTAGTTTAGTCTTTTTAACAAGCATGGACTCTAACAACTTACAGAAAATGTTAAACTTTTTAGTCATACAAATGCAGTGAGTTTAGTCCTTATAACAAGCATGAAGTACAAAATGTAGTAGTAATTGTTATGAAATATTAAGACTTCATGACTTTTGTCTCTTACAGGCATGCAATGATAGTACATAGTACTAACAGTCCTAATATAACAGAAAATCACAAAAATGTCTTGCACACAGTTAATCAAGGTTTAGAATTGAACTGTTGTACTGAGGATAGAACAACATTATTACCTAAAGCTGTGAGTGTCTCCTTGTCTTCAGCAACTTTCTTACAAGCGATGTTGATCCTTCTTTACCTCCTTGGAAAACTGTTCTCTCTTCACAATATTCTCTCTTACCTTAGGCCAAAAAACAGTTACTCAAGCAACTGGATATGATTTTGGAAATTAATGGTAAGACGTTTCAGGTAGCAATCACCACATATGCTACCTGAATCATCTGTTTCCAAAATCATATCCAGTTGCTTGAGTAATTGTTGTTTTGGCATATCTTATTGCCTAGATGTCTAACCTTCACCGACGTCTCTCTTACCTTGTCTCTCTCCTTCTATCCTGCCGCTCGCCTGACTAACTAAAGTACCATAAAGCCGTAGAGGAGCAAAGAGCTACACAGGAAAAGTTGCTGTTTTTGGCCAAGGACCACCAACAGCAGCTAGCCAATAGGAACGTCCATGTAAGCCTCTCTCTCTGTCTCTTTCTTTCTTTCCTTTCCTGTTTCACTGTTCTAGGGTGGCTAGCACACGAGCTACAGACCACATTTTATTGGTGCGGCTGTTGTTGTCACCCTTTCCATGTTTGAAAAGTCATTGCAAGTTTACTTGTGCTGTTGGCTTCCTTTTTCATCCCACTCCACCCTTCTCTCTTGTTGGGGTTGTTGGTTTTGATTCTATGGTGGCTGTGTCATGTTCTGTTCTGTTGCACAGTGCTACTATATGCACTGCCAGGAGTCGATTGTATGAGTGTAAAAACACAATCATGTCATCTACATGTATAAGCTCACATGTGTATCACTGGAAATTTTCCTCCCCTCACAAAAGTAACAAAAATCGCAACTCAATGATTTTATAATCACCTCAGGTGCATACATGTCTTACATACTCTTCACAATTGTTTTATTAGATTCTATTCCTGGATGTTTAGTGATGTTGTAAGCCTTCAGTTGTGAAACAAGGAAGAAACAGAACTACATGTATTTTAGATATGCTTGTACCATGAATGAAGAGCATGGTTCATAACCTCATGCAGTTTGAAACCACATACATGTACATGTAACTGTATAGTGATAAAAGTTTGTAAAAACAAGTTTTTCTCCCTCCTCACAGTTCCAGCGCGCGATTGAGGAGCAGCAGGAGCTTGAGAAGAAGCTTGTTGAGGCGACGCAGACGTCGACGGCGCTCCACGTGGCCGAACATGAGGACGAGCAGGAGAACTTCACCAGCCTCGACCTGGAGAACAACAAGGACATCACCAACGCTGGCTCCGAGGAGGACCGCGTACCCTTCGCAGACAAGAACAAGATGATGAAGGACAAGCTCAAGGTTTGTAGCACCTTAAGGGGTTTTCCTTCTGTTGAATTATGTGTCAAAACTCTTGTCCAAAGGCACAGCATTACAAGATGCAAGCTTGACGTTCGTTGAAGCTTAAGGCTTTCTTTCTCCTTCCGTATTTTATGAGTTATGTGTATCTTGAGTCCCAGGACACACAAGAACATCAGAATTCATACATGTAGTGCCTTGAGCAATGAAAGAAAGACATTTTCTATTTTGTTCCATAGAAGAACTGTTTCTCATCTCACAACCCTCCCCTATTTTGCCCCCCTTCCACAGCAGTTGGGAAAAGAGGTGGAGATCGCGAAAGATGAGAACAAGCTGAGGCGTAATGACACACATAAACATACACAAAAGACATTTTCCATCAGATTCTCTTCTGTTTCATAGAATAACTGTTGTTAACCTTCCCTGTTCCCCTCCCACCCACAGGAGTTGGGAAAAGAGCTGGAGATTGCGAAGGATGAGAACAAGCTGACGCGTAACGACCAGCTGAACGCCGAGAACGTGAAAGCCGGCCGCGACAAGTACAAGACGCTGAAGCTCATCCGCATGGGGAACACCAAGCAGAGAATCGACGAGTTCGAGGCTTTGTAAAATTGTAGATAACAATCAGTAGATATGGTGGGTTGGTCCAGGGGGAGAATGCAAAATCTGTAGCCATTCGAGCACACACCCACGCATTTGTATAGAGATCACTTACAACCGCTTTCTATCAAAGGAGAGTCCTGTCGAAACAAGTTATAATGTTCTTCAGGACAAACTTAAGATTGCTGTTGTTCTTAATCCTTGAGACGTGAAAGTGTAAGGAGCGGGTAACATCTTTGAGGAAAAGGAAGGTCGTGTGGAGGTCGTTGCGTTTGCCTGCTTTCCAGTAGAGGAAAATAAGGCGAGGGGCCAAATGAATTACGGTATAGGTGTATGCAAATGAGGAGTATGCAAATGAGGTGTATGCAAATGAGGGCGTGGAGCAAAAAATTCAGAAAAAAAACTACTAGTGCTGCCTTGAATCCTAATGATATGAATTAATAGTGACTACAGCGTTTTGGAAGCTGTGCTACTTAATAATAAGTAACAATAGAATGTTGTACAACTTGAGTCTTAGTAGAGAGAGAGAGAGAGAGAGAATACTTTAAAAGCTGATTTAGAAGGTCTAAGAGAGGATTGTTTGCTATATTTCTTTATATATTCCTAGCTTGTTGATTTTCCTGTTTGCCTAGAAAACCAGACTATGAAAGAATAATGAGGATATATTTGCTGTAAGTTTAGAGTACGTTTTCCTGGGCGCAGTGTGTATAAATTAGCATCATTCTCTTCGTTATTTAGTCCATCCTCTGTTGCCTTAATCTATCCTCGATTTACTTTTGTAAGCTAATCGATGAAATAATGATAATAATGTTGTTTCTTGATGGTAGCATCTTGTGATACTAAGGATGATTTGATTCTGCTGTAGTTGTGAGGTTGACTTTATTTTTCCTGTAGCTAGGTTCCCCTCCATTTTTTACCGATAACGAATACACATTACATTTTTCTCTCTCCTTTCTAGTGGTGAATTTGTAAGGTGGGGAAAAGGGTGTATAAAAACTTGTGCAGTGTGATGTGAACCTTACATGTGTATATAAGCTTGCTCACGGTTTTCAAACTGCGCATGCATGAAGGCAAAGATGAACTTGGAAACAATTCTTGTCTGGACCATGCTTGATACATGTACAGGCATGTTTTGTTTACGTTTCAGGAGCCCTCTAATCTCCAAGCAGATCCTAGGGTGGCAAATGGCAGTATCAAATTTGCCAGGCAGTATCCGTTCGCCCTTGGCTGGCATATTAGACCCTCTCTGGCAAATGGATACTGCGAGGCCAATTTGATATTGTTTTTTGCCACCCTAGGATCTGCTTGGAGATCTCTCCACTTTGACATGTAACCCACAGAGCATCACACATGCGCAGTTCGAAACCGTGAGCCGGCTTATTCCAGGCTTGTAGGCTGGGGATGAGGAGCGCAGGATGCCTTAAGTCGCTCTCGAGTGTTGGTGTTGGTGTGTAGAAAGGACTGAACCTCTGTACTTAGTACCGCTGGGGAGCCATTTGTACTCGCAGGCCAGTCTTATAGCAAAAGGGTTAAGGCCCGTTTCCACTGTACGGAGATCCTTGGGCAACCGACGAGCAACCAAAAACCTTCCAAAGATCAATGGAAGATATCATAGGTCTTTGAAAGGCCTTGGAGGTTATTAAAAGATCAATATAAGACCTTGTAGACCTTGGAAAGATCTTTGAAGATCGTTGAGATCAGTTGGAACAACTTTGAGTGTTCACTGAGCAACCTGCGAAGAAAGTTTTGGATACATCAGTGCAGCTTAGACATCCAGGCAATAATATATGCCAAAAAACAGTTACTTAAGCAACTGGATATGGTTTTGGATGCTCGTCGGTGTTGCTCGTGTGGTTTCCCCACTTCAGGCGAGGTTGATTTTCCGTTCTTGTACCTACCCACCAGGTCCGGACAATGGTGTGAGCTGCAGACTAAGACTAAGTCAGCCAGGAGAGTGGTCTGACCTGTGGAGGCAAACTGCACGTAGCGGTTCTTTCCGTTTTTATTCAACTATTGCGATGCCAATTATACACGTGGAGCACTAGGGAGGCATAAAATTCAGCTGGTGCTGTGCTCCACACATTACATAACAAAAAATTTAGACACAGGCAAAAATTACATGAAATACATACAAAATAGCTGTACAATTAAAACAGTGGCGTTATGAAAAACTACTACCTAAATGGTCAACAGGTGTGGTTATGGTTGCATGAGAGAGAAGCTTTTTGGAGTGTTATGGTTAAGATGAATTTTTCTAGCCTCCACCAGGCCTTCCAAAGGGGTTATCGGTGGTAGAATTTAGCAAAAGCAGGGTGAATAACTGGCCAGGAGAGTAAGTTCACAACAAGGGTTACAATTCCACCTAACGGCGTGGCCAAACTACCCTGGCAAGTTATTTTCCCAGTTCGGCTAAATTTTGTTATATTTCAGCCCCTTTTGTTAGTCTGGTGAAGGCTTGAATTTCCCTGTTTATTTCTGATTGGGACCAAACATGGCTGGTTGAGTAGAATGACTCCCCAGTGTCTGAGTGAAACATGTTTTTGTGCATCTTTGTACCTGAACGATTAAGTCCCCAACACCAGAAAGTCTAGGGTGGGTGGTGGGTGTCTAAATTAACATTGTCGAAAGCACAAGAAACAGCAAAGGATGGTTTTTTGATCATTTATAGTCGCAAATTTGGGTAAATTTGGTGCTGCCTGGTGTCCATGTATACACAAGTAGCCTGCAAAATAAGTAATTATACATTCAAGTTGTGTTGTTCACATCCATTGTATTCTTTCTTCATGTAGCTACAGTAGATATTTCTTTGTGCACTCTTGTTAGAATTATACTTTTGTCTCCTTTTTCCCGAGTTATTTAAAGGTCCTATAGTTGATATTGAAGAATGATGAAAGTATTAAAAAAGCACTCACTACTACTTAATAAGTAAGTCTGCAAGAGGATAATTCTGATGTTTTCTAGGTAGCATATTTTTGGATCATTCGTCGCACATGTATCCATTGGTTGGGGTAATAAAAAATCCTTCTGATTGTACCAGTGGTCACTGTGTGGTTGTTTTTATCTTATGATTATTGATAGGATGATCCTTTCAATAACATACTTGATACTTAATAACGATATCCAGTAGTTGTATCTTCAAAAGCAGCTAACTAAATACAAATTGGTTTGCCCTCACATGAGTTACAGTAATTTGGCCTACATGAATGTGTGTACATTGTTTTGCATAGAAATGCACTACTGACATGCACTACTGACATAATCAAAGTGGCAAATATGTACTATTATCCAGTCAATAACACAAATAATCCTATCAATAAGGGGAAAATCATATCCAGTCTCTTGTCATGAGTAACTGTTTTTTGGCGAATCTACATGTACATTTCATCATACTGACCCTTGAACAGCTTTTCATGGATCATAATGAACTGCGTCACATGCTGTCAACATTGAATTCATATCATATTGATTTGTGTCCCGAGTGGCAGCTAAAGTTTGAGAGCCTCGACAGTTCTTGATGTTTCTTAAATGAAGAATTGTTCAGAATCTTATTCAGAATTACATAAGAAGAACACAGGGCAATTCTACAGCTTAGACAAAAACTTAACGTCTATTCTTGTTTAATGCAGAAACTTCTTTGAGCCCTTGTTCATCCCAGCCATCATGGCACCAATAAAGGCACCGGCACCGGCGAGAACCGGGTTAGCCATCACCGCGCCAAACGCAATGAGACCACCAATGACGGACCCAGCTGCCATTGCCTGTAAGTTAGAAAAGCGGAGCGGTGGTGAAATGGCCTAGACGAGCGATACATTACCGATGAAAGCAAGTAAAGCACATTCGATGTAACACTTTTGTCTCTTTTGAAATATCTGTACGTAATGTAATTTATGTAACGTTATGCCGTGATACCATGTAAAAACCACCATGTTATTACACACATGTTGGTTCAGAACTGGTACTACTAGTACATATAATAACAGGTAAACAAGTTTTATAAACATCTTGTAACAGTACTTCATAACCTACCTGTCCGCTGAATTTCACGCCGTACCGACACCAGCGCACGAAGTGCTCGCAGTTTTTAAACATCATGTTGTAGCCGGTCTCTCCCAGCTTAGACCGAGCTCTCTTCACGACCTTCCCACCTGGCAGCGGATCCGTAATCTTGTCCATGCCGTTGTTGATCGTGACTCGGTCGTTTTCCTCAACGTCCCAGAAATCGTCTTCCCGAACCTTGGAAACAAAGGTGATATTTCAGTGATACCTGATACATCTTACCTTTCAATCAATCCAGCAATCTACACGTACCGTGACACATGCTTTCTGTGCCTGAAAATCATCAAAATTCCTCACTGACGGGAGGACATAATAGTAGTATGTTGCCTAAATGACTTTTAAAGATTATGGAAAGTGTTATGTTTAAAATGCACTTCCGTTTCGTATTAGATTAGAAGCGTTCGTTGAGCGCATTCACATCCAGGGCGTATTCCGCATAGCACCCATATTTCTGACATATGATGCATATGACTTTGATATGCCAACGGCTCATTTGTTTATTTGAGTTAACCATCAGATATACTCATGCTCATGGGATGCAATTTCACACAATACTGTAAACTTTAGACATGACTTAAGACATTGCTCAGGCGTTGACCACATGACCTTGATCCAGTACTGATTGCCCTTATTATGTACTTCTTTTTTTTTTATTACTGACGGAACAGTCAAAAGAAAAGAGAAATACAGACGAGATGGCGACGCACTCAAGTTACATCAAACTTATGTCAACGCCGCCATCCAACACATAACATTTGAACAAAGGTGTAAACAATTAACTAACTAAATAAATAAATCAAATCAACAAAATGGGGTAACTTAAGTATAAATCTGGATAAGCGCAAGTCCATTCTCCCCTCCCTTAAAAATATTGGTAGGACACAAGTAAAATCAATCAGAGGTAAAACGACCAGTTAGGACAATGAAATTTTGAGTTAAACTCATAATTTCACAATTAATTTTAAAGCTACAAAAAGATAATCCATAAAGAAGGAGCTGATTTAGATCATAATGAGAAAGAGGGTTTATGTCCAAAATGTGTCCCACCACCCTTGAAAGTTGGCCGAAGAGAAGAAGACGCTGATTAGTGTATAATGGGCAGTGAAGCAAGAAGTGGGAGACGGTTTCGCATCTGCACCCGCAGCTACAAGCTGGACTATCAACAAGTCCTCGACAGAAAAGACTGGCGTTCAAGCCGCAGGTGCCTATGCGAAAGCGTGCTAAGAGAACAGAGGCGTAACGGGGGCCATAACTAAAGTGTCTGACTTTAACAGGGCGAACAGATCTCAAAAAGTGTATTCGAAACATCGGATAGCGAAAGCTGCGTGTTAGGGACTTAAGGAGTACGGAAGAAAAGACTTCGCAAAACGATTTGTAGAAGCGTAGAGTGATCTTAAGTTACTCTTGTTGCGAAGGTCATACGAACATGTTGATGAAAAATTTGGAGGAATTAGGTCAGACAGATAACTGCGAGTAGCACCATGAATGATTTTATGAAACAACAGAAGGCGATGGATGTGTCTTCTGTCAGATAAAGTCTCCCAGCCGAGTTCTTTGCGAGTAGAGAAGTACGACGATCCTTTGACAGCACCTGATACAGTGAGACAACAATAATACTGAATACGTTCTAAGAGCTGAGATTCCTCACATGTACAGCTGTGCCAAACGATATCTCCGTACTCTAAGCAGGGACGAATAAAAGACTTGTACAACGTTTCCAGAACATTCCGAGGAAGTTTAAATTTTAAACCCTTAAAAGTGGCAAGGCTTTTAGAAATTTTGGACAACATATTATGTACTTCACCAATGGATATCATCAAGAAGAATAAAAAACCATGTCAACAATCTATATGAAATGGTTGATTGGAACCGAAGCAAACTACAAGGATAAACAAGAGTTCCGAGATGTCATACCTCCATGAAATATGGGCTTGACATGTAAATGTAAATTTCTTCTTTGATTATGCAAATGAGCTCCACATTAACATAATAAATGCATCGTGATGTGAACTTTTGATTAACTTACACATGTACCAAGTATGAAATTCCCATCATTTACCACTAAGGAGTCATAGAATCTTTGCATTAATTATGCAAATTAGGTCATCATTCGCATAATTGGTATCTGTTGATGTTCCATCTGCCATAGATTACATACATTACATGTATGAAAGTACTAAAGTGTAAAACACTAATTATAGAATTTCCTCATTAATTATGCAAATAAAGTCCTCATTTGCATAATTTGCATTTAATTATGTACACCTCTCTCTCAGCTACCTACCTACCAAAAATGATGAAAATACATTGTTTCTATCTGGACTTATTGGCTTTTAAAGATTTCGCCCGAAAGTCCCCTGCAGTTTCAGAACAAGCTGCTAGGAGGACCAAACCCACACCACTTATTCCTGACAGGACAATCTATCTGTCACCAAAAAATCAAGACCATAGCATGTTCAGGACAAAAGATACAAAAACCGGAAGTTCTGCTGCAGTACCAAGGTCATCCACCAGGAGGCCCATATTTGACCTTGACCTTCGTCTTCCTAAGACCTACCAGCGTACCAAATATCATCACAATCCATAAAGGCGTTATGAAGTTATGCTGACTACAAATGTGCGGAAACACACAGACAGACACACACACAGACAGACACACAGACAGACACGCCAAAAACAATACCTCCATTTTTCATGGAGGTAATTACATAACACACAACAAAACAAACATAAAAACCAACACAAATGACTAAGCTAACAGATCTTTGACCTCCAGTTTGTTATAACTAAATTAATACAAGTCCTCGATATCGTCACTCTATTTAAGGTTTAGCACAACACAATATATATTCCCCATATCCAATACCTCAAAGTGACTCATCTAGTGACTTAAAATGAAGAGTGCAATTAAGAAATCGAAAAAATTATCCTTGCGCAAGAGGATTTTTGTGTCTCTATCTTTGGTCTCCACTGGTCTCCACAAGTCCTGTAATTTGCTGAGTCAACTATAAGACTAAGATATCTGAATCTGTCATAACACACAGACGCCTTGTATTTACCATCTTACCATGACTCCTGCTTTGCCGCCTTTGTCCTCTGTACGGTGGATGACTCTGCCGTTGCCGACATACACCGCCCAATGAGCGTAACCTAGCCTGTGAAACTCTAGCAGGTCTCCCTCTTTACAGCTCGACAAAACATCTTGATTGCGCTCGCGAAACAGGAAATTTTTTTTCTGAGAGAGGAACTTGGTCTGGAAAGTTAGAAAAGCGGAACAGTGGTGAAATGTCCTAGATCATAGTAGATATGGAAGTATGTTACACACATGTTGGTTCAGACCTGGTCAGACTCACTGGTAAAACAGTTTTTGGAGCATCTTATGAAAGTACTTCATAACTTGCCTGTCCGCTGAATCCCCAGTTGTACCGACACCAGTGCACGAAATGCTCGGAGTTTTTAAAGGGCACGTTGTCGCCGGTCAGTCCCAGCTTAGACCGAGCTCTCTCCACGACCTGCCATCCTGGCAGCGCGTCTTTGTTCTTGTCGAAGCCGTTGTTGATCGTGACTCGGTCGTTTTCCTCAACGTCCCAGAAATCGTCTTCCCGAACCTTGGAAACAAAGGTGGCTTTAAAGTTAGCGATATCTGATACATCAACAAGAGTTCCACGATCTCATACCCTCGCCAAATGATGTCAACCCTTCTGGTTGACAAATTATACAATCTTCACAAATTAGAGCCTCATTTGCATGGATTATATCAGTTGATCATATTCTCCACCCAATGACAGCCTTATCTTAACAAAAAAGGCTATTCTAGCAATTCCTCATAAATTATGCAAATGAGGTCATGATTTGAATAAATTATGTTTATTGATGTTCACCTTCACTTAACTTCCAAATGTGGCAAGTATGAAATTCCCAGCAGTTACAAGTATGAAATTATGACAATTTGCCATTAATTATGCAAATTAGGTCTTCATTTACATAATCTATATCCTCATATGTTTTTCTTCGTTCCCAATTACATGTCACATGTGTTTTATTGTTTTAATATTGAACAAATTAGATTTAAAGACTTTCCTCATTAATCATGCAAATTAGCTCCTGATTTGCATACATACCATTTAATTATGTCAAGCATCACTTTAGCTACTTACACACCAAAAAATCACGACAATCCGTCAACCCATTCTCGAGTTATTCTCCTTCGTAAATTTTTTCAACTAACGCTCCTGTAGTTCCAGAACAAGTCGCTAGGGGGCCCAAACTCATGTCACTTCTTTCCTAGCTCAAGAGCTATTTACCACCCAAACTTCGTGACCCTAGCATGTCCAGATCACGAGATATCAAAACCGGAAGTTCTGCTGCAGTACCTAGGAAAGCCGCCAGGATGCCCAAAATCTAATCATTTCTAGGTCTCATGAAGACTTACCCACCTACCAA